TTCATTCTTCGTGCTCGTGGAGTATACTGTAAACGACAGGTTTTCTTGGTCTGAAACTTGAAGTTATCATAAAATGCCAACAACAACTTGATAAAACATGTTTATGGCAGAAAATATTATCATTACATTACTAGCCACATCTGATCACGAAAGCATTACCATTATATCTCTGGTACTTTCTGCACCAGTTGAAGACGGCCCAGCTGAGGATAAAGCAATTGGCGATCGTGCTGCACTACCATCCAGTTCGTGGTTACCAGTCACAACATTGCTATAACAAATAAATGCAACTTTTTATAGATTTGTTTGAGATAACTGAGAACATAAGGAAGAGGAAAAACCTTATTATGATGCATGAAAACTAACTATGTGCTTTCATGTGGTGCAGGAGTTGATGAGTTTGATGTTTCTTCGCTGCTTGGCTCCGACTGAATACCAGGAATGGTATTACAAGGTTCAATGGGTGATGAACGTTGACTATCTCCACTTTTAGCACATTTTGATTCAGTCCTCGATGGCGATCGACTCTGTCCAGTCCTTGATGATGGTCGACTTTGTCCTTTTGGTTGCGCACATTCCGAATCTATATCATCATCTTCGCGACGGGCACGTTTGTTTCTAAATTTCACACCTATTTTATTCCAGAAATTCATAATAACAATATATGTTTATAATAAGAAATGACTAATGAACTACAAAAAAATAATGCTTAGTGAAGGAATACTTACTTAAAACCAGTAACATAGTTCTCATCAATCCAATTTGGTTTACGACGTTGACGTGAAGGACGCTGTTTACGACCATCTTCAGCCTGAAAAATAAAAAACTGAAATCCTATGTAACCTGAACTGCATACATGTTTAACCAGTATATCATTAGCATACAACACTGGCTATTGTTTACTTAATGCTGTACTGTACTCATGCACTTATTGCAACACTGCACTTACTTCGTCGCTATTTCCACTCAGTTCATCTTTCTCAATATCATTCTTCGGTGCCTGTCCAGCTTTTGGTTTCGGTTTACGTCCCCTACCACGTTTCTTCGGCAATTCAGTTTCGTGCTTTCCTTCTTCATCACTTTCTTGCGAGATCTTGAAAAATCAATACAAATTAATTTTTCTTTTCTAACGACCGTAATTTTTAAGTGCTTATCGACTGCCAGCTCAAGGCTTCTTTAAAACAGTACCTTGCTAGGACCAGCTTCTTGATCTTTTGGTAAATTTTCCATGCGTTTACGCGCTGTACGAAGCCATATCGGTGGGCCATGCTTTTTCTTCTTCGAAATTGATGGACTAATTTTTGCAAACTGAAAAGTGAATTTTCCGAAATATGAAATGTCTGCAAGGTAATTTTCCGAAGAGTTAGTGCAAAAAAAAAAACAAACCTGTCCTGTCTTTCCGTGACTAAGTCGTGGACGTCCTTTCGGTCGTACTTGTGGCCTCGAAGAAGATTCATTCTAAATTTGAAACTATTTTCATTTCTCATATCTTGTTTCACTCAAACTTTTTTGTACCAATTTCCAACTTTTCATTCCTTTTTTCCATTCATAAAATGAAAATGGTACTTATGGTATTTAAAATAAATATTGTACAAAACTCACAAGAAAAAACTGTGTGTTCAACTCATATTTACTATCCTCCAATACCGGAGCCTTTTCGACCTCACCACACACAGCTGCAATGATGTAATCCATACGATCCTTTACTGCCTAAAACTTATGTGTGTAATATGAAAGACAGTATGATGATTCTAACAGAAATGATTACAGTAATAAAAGATACCAGTTCAATATTTCCAGCTTCCATATTTGCCATCGGTTCAAGCACGGGAGCTGAGTCATATCCAATCTCCTCTGATCCATCAGACGACTCTTCCGTCTCAAGAAAATCATCGGATAATGGACTCAAGCTTCGCCCCCTCATTAATACAGCCTTTAAAAAAGTCCTTTTAAAAAAAATTAATATAAATTTGAGAAGATTCTGCCACAATTATAAATCAAACTACAAGTTAAAAGAAAGACAAATTACTTACTTTTGACTGCTTTCCTTTCCGGCCTCGTTTAAGCTCCTCGGATGTCGAACGGGCTGTAACATGCTCCTGATAAAACTGTTCGTGAGCATTTTTCAAATGTTCGATCAACGTAGTATATCTGAAATAACAACATTATTTGAACTAATCATTACCAATAACCAAAACTGCCATCTAATGGCAGTGATCCGTTTTTTATCAGTTCTAAATAATTCTGCATCAAATGTTTGATGCATGCTTATAACCATTAGCAGCACGTACGTCTCAGATTCAAAATCACACAAATAACATGGGATTCGTTTGTTTGATGTAGCACGGCGATTATGTTTTACAGTGAGATGATATGCAAACGTGAAGAGTGATGAAAATGGTTGCTTTTCTTTGCAATCACTGTGTGAACAAGTAAGCAAGCTCAGATCAACCATCATTGTTTGGTATTTGCCCATACGTTCCAAAATTTTAAGCTGCAATGACAAAAAAATATTAAGTTTTAAACTTTGTTTTCATTTGGTTACAGGCTCAACAATTTGATTATTGTTCTCTCAAGTTTCACTTCTTAAGAACATAAAGAATAAAATGAAATAAAATACTTCTTCAGTTCCAACTTTTCGAGCGACACCATTTTTTGAGCTATCACCTTTACGATTACGAAGATTCATTTCGCGATAACGACTTGAATTGTCCTGCGGAATAAGAACTGGAACCCGATCCGGTGGTATTGTGTCTGTTGTTACCAGCGCATGTGGGATTGATTCCATGACCTGGAAAAAGTTTAATTCATTCATTTCTTGATTTAAATTTTCTTTGGTTATTTAAGCCATACAAAAAGAAAATGAACTGCACAGCGCTACCTGTTGTCCTTCTACGAATGTTGTTGCTGCCACATCACGTGATACACGAGGAAGTGTATGCAATTCCAATTTATGCTGCAAACAAATCTATGACGGAATGAAATTCAATCTAGAGACTGACAGAGATTTCTAATCTACCTTTCTCTCTATCGTTCGCTCCCACACATATACCGTAACATTATTAACAAATGATTTAATTAGTCGCCATAAATAGACTAACTTCCGAATTGGGTAGTGATAATGCGTAATGTTTCATCCGTTTGTTGACAACGTTGATAAGATTTGTCCGCTTGAGAATGCCTTTGGCACGTTTTGGCGGCTGTGAATCGGTTTTCGTGCCGGACGATGTCCCTGCCTCTCCTCTGTTTTGCTGCTGTGGTGATGCTCCTTCCTTTTTACTTTGATCGCCGTTTCGAATTTCTAAAATATATCATCTCTACTACACTTGTTCATTCATATGCCTTTCAAACTACATTATTCGATAACAAATATGACTATGGAGAGATAGCAGCGGTTGAAGGATCAGTCTTAGTTGAGGCGTGATCTTGATTGCCTGTGATTTCGATACCCCGATAGGTACCTTTTCATTTTCTCGACTTTTCCACGATTTTTGAATTGAACGATACTCCGACAGCTTTTGAGAAATTGCTTACCTGCAAGGGCTTTTTCCGCAAAATCTAGAGCCACAGCACTGAATGCTGCTGCAACAGTTGAACGTAATGTACGGCAATAGACACGTTTGTGCGTTAAATAATTCAAACTACTCCGAAAGATATTGCCACAGCAACTGCAATTTTACCATCAAGAATTAATGTTTCGTCTTATGACTATTTTCAGAAAAATAAACCAAAAAATCGAAAAAAAAATAAAACATTTAAGCAACACAATTTGCAAACAAAATTTAATTGGATGGAAACTTCTTGAAGACAAAATTGAGGACAAAAATGAACTCACCGACATTCAAAAAGAATATTGCATTCGTTTGCCAACAAGTTTTTCACTTCAACTGTAGAGTTATTGTACATATCTATCAAACCATCGACACCATCCGATCCTCCGGTTGGTATGGAAGGCTGTTGAAGGCCCAAATCATCAATACTCCGAGACATTTCTTTTGTACTCGGCGAAATTATTGATATCACGAAAGACTATAAAAATAAAGAAAAAATCTATTTCTGACTTGATTCCCAATAATTTATTTGTCGAAAAAAGAACTCCAGGCATAAATTCCATAACTAACGAATGGTTATTTGATTTCAAATAATTTTTTATTCATTGAAATTTGTTCTATTCATTTGAATTCACTAACTTCATCTCTTCTCCTACAGTTCTGTAACCATTACATTTCTGTCTGCAAATTACATTTTGAAAATCATCCACAAAACTGAAGCCTTAAGGCTTTACCAGAGATATATGCCTTGGGATATCGTGATTTCATACTGAGACTTGAGATCAACTTACCGTATACCGATCTCAACGGGTCGGATTTGTCCTGCGCAGTTGAGAATTGCCGGGAGAGAGAGTATGGTCACGAGGAGAACGAATTAAATTTCAGGAGATCGTTAAGATGCTGTCTTATAGCGAAAACAGAATAAACTGCAAAAATTTCTACACTGCAAAAAGGAAAATGTTAGATATGAATAATTTAATGGGCAAAACGAGAGCGGAATGTCAATAACGCGATCGGAATGTATTTGGAGTGTCAGAAAAAAAGAATCCACCGGTGGAAAGCTGGAATGGTAGTAATAATCAATAAGGCATAAAGTTAGCATTGGCCAAAGTAACCTCCTTCTATCTTCGGTAACGAATAAAATAAGATCAGCTAGATGTGAGTGTGTAAATTAGAGTAATGTTATTCACTTGACAAATAATGCGAAGTTGTCTGCTTATTGAATCAAAACAACAGGCCATTCAACCAAATTATGTGATATAGAAGAAAAGAAATGGGTGTTTAGAGGATTTTAAAACAACTTAGGTAATTTAGATTAATTAGATTGGTGAAAAGTCACACCTAAACGTAAGGATGGAACAGAGTAGAGCAGAAGCGTAATAGAATAGGATGTGTTAAAGTGACATGAATGGGTTGCTGGTAGTGTCGATGCGGTTGGAAAGTTACGAAAGGTCGGGCCTAAAGTTCATGCCATCGTAATTCAAGTGGAAGTGGATTATGAATGCCTATTGAATGGTTAACAACATGTCATAATTTAAAGAACAAATGGACCTGAATTACCTTAATGATCAAACATAAAAGATCAGTTCGTTGGATATGATTATGGCGAGAATTGGAGACAAACAATACTCCTTCCTTCAATAAACTCATTTAATACTATTTCTAATTTATTGAGGGTAGAAATCAATTGGGAACTTGTAGTTTCGAATAAATCAACAAATTTTTGAATAAATAAACCTCCGTTAGCATCAACATTTTTTAGAGATCGGGAAAAACTATTTGAGTCTGTGCTATAAGTATGCAGTCTCTTTATCGAGAGTTCACTGTCCTGTCCATATTATGCAATAGGTGCAGGAAGAAAATGAACTCTTGTTTAAATATTTTTTAATTTGAGCAAAAGTGATTTAATAATTTGCTAACTAACAACTCAGCTACGTAATAATATGGAAAACATTTTAAACAATTTGGTACTAAGAAGTGAGACAGATAAAAAAAGGATGGATAAAAATTTTTTTGGGATGCCAAATAATAGAACATCTTTCTTGGCCACAAGCAAAACCTGATAAGACATTTTTTTTGGCCATAACTAAACATCAACAGAAAAGAACAGGAGAAACATAAAAGTGACAGCAAAACTTTCCGCTAACAAAACCGAACTTGTTTAACGTTGAAAACGAACGATGCATTTCATTTCCTTTCACATTTATAGGTTTCATTTTCAGGAAAAGAAAATCTACCTGAAATTCGTAATTTAAAAGCTCGCTGTTTAATTGCAGAATTATAATTTCATTATAGGAATCAAATTATTAACTAAGTTTGAAAATTAAGATGGCCAATCACTCGTAATAATCAGTACTTTTAGATTGTCGACTTTAGTATCTTTCTGGCTGAAGTCAACTCATCCTTTAAAAGAGCAAGGTAATTGTCATACTTTTCTCAACACTAAGTTCAGAATTCTACCTTACAATTCCCTTAGAGCAATCGACAAACAATGATGAGAAAAGAAGAGTATGGTGTAGTGAAGCTGCAGTAAGTTAGAAAATTCAAATTTGCGCAATTATCACGAATCTTGAAATGTCCCAAAAAGTCGATACTTTTGCATCGACGGCTCTCCAATACGGTATTTGATTTGCGACTTGTATTTGAGCGAGACTTTTGTTGGTGTCGCTGTTTGGAGTTTAATACATTTCAAGGAAGATTAAATCGTAAGTAGTAATTGGAGTCCACATCGGTCTAACCGTTTGTTAACATTCGATACGTTCAAAACAAGAAATAAAGAAACACGGTAAAGCAAAGTATTTAGAATCAGTTATAACAGTTATTCGATATTGTGATAAAAGATAAGCGAATCAGTTTTGCAATATATGTGTTGTCTCTTCCCCATTCTATGACCCAACTAGTGGCAGTGGTGGCAGCTATTTCTGATTGATCAATCATAATTAAAATTCATGGAAAAAACTGAGTGCATGAGAAGGGTTGGTTCAGCCTCTGTTTTAGAAGTGATAATCACTTGGAACACTCGACAGTACTTCATGTCACCAGGGATGATGACAGAAACTAAATTGGAGAGAGGGCAACAAAAACTGCTGTGAATTAGGGGGGAAGGGTATGTCGGTATAAACTATTGTTGGGAATGAAAAATAATCAGAATTTCGTTAATGCAACCTTGAAATAATCAATAGTTCGGATATGAGACTAGAAAAATAAAGATTTCTACAAGAGAGAAATAAAAATTTTGGTATTAGTAGTGTAATTATCTTGCTGCGCAACAATCTTATACATACAGATCTATCATCTGTCAGGGGATAAAGCTCGACAATGCAAAGAAATTAAGTAATATGGAATCGACGGCAGTAAGTTGTCGGTATTTGGCGCCACCGAACACAACTACGTATAGTTCTGATCAAAGTGACGAATATGGTCGTATACCGAAGCCTACCGCTGCAATGGGAAGTTAAGGGATAATCACTCCGATGGCTGCGTAAAGTCATCAAGAGAACATAGCTAGGTAAGAGTTGACCCTTGTCCACTCTTGCCCTTATCCTTCCCCTCCGTTCTCCCTCTGCCCGCTCTATTTCTATCACAAACTTTGATGCCAATTACTTAACAAATATTGGAGAAGCACGAATCAAGGTGGTGTTTCTGAAAAAGAAGACATTTCAGAAGAGATAACCAATCGAATTGACTGAAAAATCACTAATGAGAGGAAGTCTAAGGTCATCTACTCATGACCTCTTTCCACTTAAAGTTCCTGGCACCCTTCATGTTTATCTATGGAATACTTCAAGAAAATGGAAAGGACTTGATTAAATAAAAATTTGGCAGATTAAATTGATTCCATTATTTAAGCAGTTATGCTGGCATTATCAAAGTGGGAAATAGTGTTAACAGAAATTAATCATTTCATACATACATTAATGATCCATCCTTACTGTTAAAAGTCAGAATCAAGGACAAATGGAGATCTATTCGTAAGGACATCACGTTTAGTAGCGGAAATACCTATCAGAAAGTTATCTTGGGAAGTCCAATGGACGGATAACCCTGAAGTTGCCGATGAAAAATTTGTTCACCGAGTAGTTATTGTCTTAAAGTGGCCGTTGTGTTACAGAAATGAATTGTCGCCGATCAGAATCGGTCGATATGACTATAATATTAACATTTCGATATTTAAGTTCACAAAACATCTACCGAGAAAAGGCTTATGGAACAATGGTACTAAAGTAGCAACAAACAAAAGTCTATCATTTGACGTCACAAAAACCTCAACGTTTTACG